CAGCTCCTGCATTGAGCGTCTGCCCCCTGGTGGTCAGTGTGTGTCATAGTGACCGGTCGTTTCTGGTCGTTCTGCTGTTAGGGTCAATTTGCATATTACCCTTTTATTATATAGGATAGAAGATATCTATATATATATAAAAGCCTAATATGCAAACTGTCCCCTTGGGAGTTCGATGGACCGGGAGTTTGATCGCTCGCTATGATGTGTGCTGACCACAAGGGGACGGCATGGAACGAAGGAAGGCCCAGGCCAGAGCCAGGGAATGAAGGCCCCAGCAGGCAGCCAGCAGCCGCTAGGGATGCTACCTGTGCAAAAATTTTGTGCACTGGGCCTCTAGTTGCTATCTATCATTTATTGCCCTTTTACCTTTTAAAATTTGATCTAACTTTGACAAAAAAGCTAGAGATCTTTTTAACAACTAGAAAAGAATAAAGGTTATTTTGTTTTATACATACATACATATATACATATATAGTTAACGTTCTATACCAGCATTCAATAGAAATATAATACAAACTATATTTAATGTAAAAATATTTTGCAGGTATGTAAAAAGTGGAATTAATTTTAGTAACACATTTTACTAACCAAATATTTTTTATCATGTTAAATGTATAACAATGAGTTATTTTCACATTCTTTTTAAATACTGTCTTTAAAATCCAGTGTGCATTTTGCGTTTATAGTACAGTGCAGTTTGGAATAGTATGTTACTTTGTTACGTGAATTCTTATTAATCCTCACCCGAGGATATTTTTTCCATTGATTTTTAGATGAGTGAAAGGGAGGGGGAGAGACAGAGAGAAACATCGATGTGAGAGAGACATCGATTGGTTGCCTCTGACACATGCCCCAACCCTGACCAGGCCGGGATTGAACCTGCAACTGAAGTACATGCCCTTGACCAGAATCAAACCCAAGACCCTTCAGTCTGTGGGCCAGTGCTCCAACCACTGAGCCAAACCTGCTAGGGCTGTGAATTAATTCTTTTCTTGAATGAGGGTGTGTTCGGGTTTCCTAAGACCCACACCCGTGCTTGATGGACACAGAAATCAGAGAAAAGCTGTTGAACTCACGATTATCGTATATTATAGCAAAAAAGTACAGATTAAAATCAGCAAAGGGAACAGGGCATGTAGGATGGAGTCCAAGAAAAAGCATGTGGGTTTTCAGTTATCCTCACCTAGTGGATTTAGTTGCATGGACAATGCTTCATTCCTCCAGCCGCCTTGTGTGATAACCTTATATATGCAGTGATGTCAACCAGGAAAGCTTACCTGGTTCTTGGTGTTCAGGGTTTTTATTGGGGGTTAGTTTCGTAGGCATGGACATACCCACATTATTGTCTTTAGTTGTTCATTTGCAGCTTCTTTCTTCTCTCTTCTATCCAAAGGTCAAAGTGATATAGTGTGGCCCAAACCTGAGACATACAAAAACAGCCATTTACCATATTTTACATTATTGACATAAATTACCTGGTATGGCCCAAGATCTCAGGTATACAAAGAGACTTATCAGGCAGGATATTCCAGGGGCTCAGAGATTATCTCCCAGAAACCTGTCAGAGGCTAATGCTTTCTTTGGAATGTGCAGAGTTTGAGCCCTCAAGCTTGAAGAGTTACCCCTTTCCTGCACAAATTCTGATGCCTTACAAAGGAAGGTGTCCCTAGTATAAATTCTTATAGGAACAAAAGGGTAGATGAAATTGGCAGTAGCTCAGTTCACTTTAAATACCAAGTATGTTTTAAACAAATGGTAAGGATTATAAAGGCTAACTATGTTCTGCAGTTACAGGTTTCTTTAGTTGGAAACAACTCTTAAAATTTACTGACTGCCTCCTATAAATTCATCCTGCTTGTTGAAATACACATATTATCTCATCTAAACCTCCATTTCTGCCTATGATGGAGCAACTTGTGTCAGACTGAGGATTCTGCTGAGAATAGTTGAAAAGGTAGTGAAAAAATTAGTTTGAAGTCGTCGTAGAGCCTCTGAGTCAATCAAGAGTTGAAGAGACAAGATTCAGGAGAGAAGGGAGATAGGCATACTCTGTGCTGCGTTCCCTCTTGTCATGACCCGAGAGGTGCAGACAAATGACTTGAAAGAAGTGATCAGTAAATTGATTCCAAATAGCATTGGAAAAGGCATAGATAAAGCTTGTCAATCTATCCGCTCCATAATGTCTTAGTTAGAAAAGTCAAAATGCAGAAGCCAAAGCCTGAATTGGAAAAATTCATGGAGCTTCATAGTGAAGGCAGCAGTTCTGGAAAAGTTACTAAGGATGAGACAGGTGCTCAAGTTGAATGAGTTGATGAGTATGAGCCCCCAGTCCAATACTCTGCTTAAAATTCAGACATTTACTGGTGACAAATAAAAAATCCTATTTGTGGGGGAAAAGAAAAGAAGAAGAAAGCTGTCAGTTATATTTTGACATCCCATTAACCTCTAAGAGAGCCGGGGAGTGCGATTGCGCTCCTCCTGTCTTTCCCCCAAAGTGCCGGGAGCGCTATGGTGCTCCTCCTGCTTTGTCACTATTAGATGCTAGTAGTTCACTCTTTATTGACAGATGGCACCTAAGTGCAGATTACTTATGATGCCGAATGTTTGTAGTTCTAAAATTGACCACTGGCATTTATCTGCCTAATTTTCATAATTTTTTTCCTAAACTGCTGTAAAATCAGCAAAAATGCCTTGGCAATTTTAGCATAGTTCCTAGGATATTGGTTGGCACTCAAAGGGTTAATTGTGAGATAACATCCTGATTTCAGAGATGTGAAAATGTGGAGGAAAAAGGTAAATGGTAATTCTAGTTTTAAATCTCAGTTCTATCATTAATTTTTTTACTTCAGTCAGGGAACTTCTTTGAGCCTATTTGTTTATTTGTAAAAGTGAAATAGTGTAGTCTACTCCTTAGAGTTAGGAAGACTACATGAGTTAAGAAATACGAAAGTGTGGGGGAGGCATTTGATACCATTTGGCATTGTTATGATAATAGAAAGAGACTCCTGATAACCAATCAAAGCAAAAAACAAAACAAAACAAAACAAAAAACCAAAACCACACACCAAAAAAACAAACAAAAAAACCCCACAAAACAAATCCCCAATATCTTGGCTAAATGAAAATTCCTGTTTCACAAAGTATCAAACATCATTCATTATTCTCTCCCCTACCCCTTCACCTCCTCCTATCTAAAGATACCATTGACTGGTTATAATATAATGATCATTATTTATAACTAGTGACCCAGTACACGAAATTTGTGCACGTTAAAAGGGAATTAATTACAGGAAATATTTTAATATTGCTATTTTCCCTTTCTCTATAATAGAAGTATCAGAAATGAAAGAAAATTAGTAAAATGTATATGAAAATCTTCCTCCCGTCAGAGTCTGGGGCATGCCATGGGAGCCAGAGTCAAGTCCCCGCCCACCCACATGCTCCTCAAAATCACGCGAGACCCAGACCAAGCCAGCCTCATCCCCATTGGGCTAGATCCAGACCTGGCCGGCCCCACCCCTGTCAAGCCCCATCGGGTGGGGGGCACAGCCTCAGGTAACCTGGCTTTAGGTCCCCCGGCCCAGGGTGGGGTGCGCGGCCTGAGGTCCCCTGTCAAGTCCTGCTTGGCGGGGGCCATGGCCTGAGGTCCCCTGTCAAGCCCCACCAGACGGGGGGGCGCAGCCTCAGGACCCTGCCTCAACCCAGTGCTACGCAGCCTCAGGTCCCTGCTGATTGCTCGTTAAGGCTCGTATGGGAACTCAGCCTCCGCTGTGGGCACAGCCATCTTGTGTTATGGAATCCCTGCCTCCACTGTGGGCGCAGCCATCTTGACCGTTAAGGCGTGACGGTCAATTTGCATATTCTCTCTTTACTAGTTAAGATGATAGAACCTACACATCAAAATAGTGTTGATATTTTCTCTATATTGTTTTTTAAAAAACATGTTTTAGGAAAATTTTCTATACTAAAAATAATTGTGATACTAGAATCTCAACCTCTAGTTTGTAGAATTCTTGCTCTTCTGATGATTCTATATAAATATAATATTAATTTGAGTGAGGGGATTTTTTAAGGAAGTGGTTGGATTTCATGATATTTGGCAGAAGTGGAAATGTCTCATTTTCTGTTTTGAAAATTGTTAATAAATGTAGAACATTTTTCTTGAGCTGTAAAGTATTCATGGCTTTAATTTTGTGTTCATTCTGTTCTGTTCTTTCAGGATATTTCAAGTCACATTCAATCGATAGGATGAAAAAATTTAAGAGAAGGCTATCCCTCACACTTCGAGGAAGCCAGACTATTGACGAATCATTGTCTGAATTGGCTGAACAAATGACTATTGAAGAAAATAGCAGCAAGGATAATGGTAATTATTTTAGGGGGGGAATGCTTTTGATTTATAAATAGAATGCAATTTACTTTCCTGATAGCTTCCTTTTGTTTATTTTTTCCCTGTGGGTCCCTAATTCTTAGGAAACGAGACTGCACAACTTGCTTGCTTGCTTATTGGAATGTTCCAGTCTTACTCCAAGTACTACTGTACCTGGTCTCTAACTGTGATGAATTCTGTCCCATTTATTTTTCCATTTTTATTGGTTCTTAAATAAGAATACCTTGTATAATAATATCCTAGTTAAGTAACTATTTTTAAATTAAAGTTTAAGTATTTTTGTTATTCTTGTAACCTGTTAAAACAGCTTAAAAGTGCATAGTGAGAATGTGAAATTTCTGTTTGAGGCTTCATTATAGTTTATAACTGTATGTATGCATGTTGACTATTAGAAGACAAAGTTCAGCCCTAGCCGGTTTGGCTCAGTGGATAGAGCATCAGCCTATAGACTGAAAGGTCCCGGGTTTGATTCTGTTCAAGGGCACATGCCCAGGTTGGGGCTTGATCCCCAGTATTGGACATGCAGAAGGCAGCTGATCAATGATTCTCTCTCATCATTGATGTTTCTGTCTCTCTGTCCCTCTCCCTTCCTCTCTGAAATCAACAACAAAAAAAGGGAGACAAAGTTCATTACATAAGTGAATCTTACTGTTTTCTTATTTTATATTTACCATAGAATCTGCCCTAGTATTGAGGGCACTTAAAGTAGATAGGCATATAATGTTTCACACATTTGACAGTTCTTTTTATAATGTAAAGTAGTACCCAGATGTAGATATAAAAAGAGCTTGTTAAATTGAGTGGATTAAAATGCAAATTCCTGCTAAAATTTATAGAATAAGACTACATACTCAAAACTGAACTATTCCTATGGAAGTCATTATACAATCAGAAAGGAGCTTTTAGTAATTTCTGCCGCTGTTGTGGTATGAAGATTCTTTGGTAAACCTTCTGTGTCTGTGCCTGAAATTATTCCATGAGAGATTCGTGGTAGTGGGTGAAAACATGGATATCCTTACCCCCTCCAGCTGAATGCAAATGTATTTGTTGTGGGAGACAACAAGAAAATGGAAAAGGCTCTGTCTGGACTTTAAGTTAAAACTCATGGGTTAGAATTTGGGGTGTACTAACACACTTATTAGTTGTATGACTCTGGGTAAGTAATTTATTCTACCCAATATTCAGTGTATCTCTTTTCCTCCAAAGGGTCATTATTTACTCAAGGTTATGTGGCTCTTTGTAATATGGGAGAGGAGTTATACATGAATATTTTAGAAAATTTAAAATAATTTTTAATGTAATTTACTTACATTTAAGAGGGAAACATTTTGCATTTGGGTCAAATCTCAAAGATGGTTTTATAATGTCTTAACTTTTACTCTTTCCAGGAACAAAATTTTTCATTCTCTCAGGCTCTCTTTGAATTCTTATTAAGCCCAGTGCGTTCATTCTTTTTTTTTGGGGGGGGGGGGGGGCAAACCTAGACAGCGTTAGTCACTCCCTTTTGAGTCCCAGGCCATCCCCTGAGTGCTAGACATACCAAGACAAGAAGGAAACCGACTCTATTGCACCCCTGAAATGGGGGGGGGGGGGGGCAATAATTAAAAAAACTACACATCTGGGGAAGGGAGGGCTGGCAGCTGGCAGAGGGCCAGGGAGTGGCCAGCCCCACAGCCCACAAGGAGTCCTGGTGACGACTGCAGAGCCTGCACAGGCTTCGGGGCTTGGACGTCGGCTTCGCTGCCGTCCCCGCACATGCCGTGCTCGTTCCAGCCCCAGGAGTAGCACACCCCCCAATCACTGCCAGATTATGTTCTGAGCCACAGGAGATCTCAGTTGCTCCAGTTAAGCAGTGCAGAGACGAAGGCGTGCTCTCCCATGGTCTCGAGCAGGGGAGGGGCAAACCCTGTTTTTCTGGTCTCCAGCCTTCCTCAGACTCCAGTTTCCTCCCTAGCTGACCATAGTCTGCTCGGCCCCAGGTAAACACCTTGCCAGTTTCTGCCAATGAAGAGTGATCTGACCCAGCAACAACACAGATTGCTTTAGAATTCTCTAGGCCTGGCACTCTGCTCAGTTCCTTTGCTGTCAAAAACAGTGGGAGGGTTTGCCCAGGGCACAACCGCCGTCCAGATGATGCCAAACCAGTTCCCCACTGGAACACGATGCCACTTGCTGTAGCAGCTAACGCATGCCTCAGTCCAGCAGCAATACTAACAACCTCCTCTCTCAGGAGCTCAATGGCCTGGGGAACCACACATCTTCCAGGCCCATGAGGAACTCCTAATTGGCCAAAGGAGTTGGATCCACACGATAGAACCTGACCATTTTCTGTGAGAATAATGGTGAAGTCCCAGCCACAGGCCACCTGTTGGATGGGACAGCCAATGAGGGATTTGCAGGGTGTAAAATATAGGACATCCTCCGTGTGACCAAGCCCCAACTGCCCATCTTTGTTCAGGCCACAAACGAAAAGGCTTCCTCCATCTGTGACAACAGCAGAGCAGCCCCCTCCTCCCGCGATCCTCCTGACACACAGGTTTACAGAAGTCATTCAGTTGTTGGGGCAAAAACACGTCTTCCTTATGACCAAGGCCAAGTTGCCCATAGCTATTTGCACCCCAGGCGAAGAGCGCGGTGGGCGCAGAGGTGGTATCCGAGGAGGGGGGCTCGAGCTCCATGCGGGCCACTCCACTGACGCTTCCGGGTGGGGCCGGCGCGGGGGGCGGGGCCCGTTCATTCTTATGATTGAAGAATCTTGCCAGCTATTTTCCAGTGATGTGCAGGAGTAAAATAAGCACAGTATATATCTCGATGGATGCTTTTTGGGACACATTTATATTATGTGCAATATAGCTAATTAACATTTTATATTAATTGCAAATTTTGTGGGATATTTAGGTCTAAATGTTGTAAAACATTCTTAAATTATAACAGTGAAACGTTGGAAATATTTTTTTCAGTAGTACATATTGTTTACTTTATTAACACTTTGTTTTATTATAATAACTTTAACAGGTAGTAATGAAGGAAAATAGTAACTCTCTTGAGTTTCCCTCTTAGCCCAAGTTACTTGAAATAATACTTGAAGATGTCATAGTAGACACTGATTCCTCTTGAGTTGCAGAGCTTGCTGGTAACATAGGCTATCTCTGAGTTATAATCTGCTGTTTCTTATTACCTATGTGTAACAGCACATAGATTTAATCAGGAGCTTTGACAAAGATTCTCTACCTTTTTGGTCATCTATCAGTTCCTGATAGTTGGTTCCATCATATTCTTACGTTATGGAGTTTATCTTAGAGCATAAAAAGTTCCTAAAATAGATGACACACACAGTCCACTTCTGAACATGGTTTAATGAATCCTCTTTAAATGATCTTCTCACATACGATGTAACCAGTTTGTGAAGCAAGTGAGCTTTGTTTAATACCCATGTAGTGGCAATGCCAGCTTTGGGAGGAGGATGAATTAGTTTATAATTTCCCTACGTAAACTGACTTTGAACCTGTATTTGATCTCCTGTATCTTCAGTCACATTCATGAGCACAATCCTGTTAACTTTTGCATTATGTATAGGTAGGTGGTTCTCATGCATACTCTAGAACAAATTGAATGGAGGACATGGGGATAATAGTATAAAAATCTTGGAAAAATTATGATGCATTTGGTTATTCATATATGCACATATACTGTCACTCATACATATTCTACCTCCAACCAAATAGAATTTGATATATTATTTCTGTCATTTTGGTCATTTAGTCATTTTAGACTTTAACTCAGAAATGTTTAATATAATTATAGTTCACATTAGAGCGCCTGTCTAGATAAGCTAGTGGTTTGCACATTAATAGGTAGATTGAATCCAGGGAAGAGAAATCTTGAATTTTTATTTAGTATGTTAAAAACAAGTTGACAGTTTGCAAACTTGGTTGATTTAAGCATACTGGCTTTAACTCAATACAATTTTTCCTAAATATGAAATGAAAATTTTGCACAAATTTAAACATTTTTTAAATTAAAGTATAACAAACATTTTTTTAAGTACCTGCAAGGAGAAAGAATTCTGAGCACATCAGAATTAAATTTTTGGTAACTGAGAAGGTATTGAATATTAAATTTTTAAAAAGCTGTCAGATTAATTTTTCATAAATAAATTAATATTATGAGCCTTTCTTCTTATTCCCAGGGTTCTTTCTTTCTCCTGTTGATCTGATACATGGTAGCAGTCACAGTTAGTGTTTGACAAAAGTGATGATAGAGGGTTGTAAGTAGAGCTGATTCCTACCAACAGCACAAAGTCCATGATAGAATGAGATTAACAGCACCGACCTATTGTATTTATGTACGGTCTGGAATAGGATGAGGTTAATAAAAGTGTTTAAAAGAACTGGATTGGGAACAGGAAGTGGAGTGGACTAAGAAATTGAATGTTCCAGATCATAATAGTTCACATCATCGGAAGATCCAAATAAGTAAGATGCCAAATAAATTTCTCAATGGAATCATACTGATTGCTATGTTACAATGTAGAAATCATTGGAAATCCTTAGTTGGAACTAATATATTTACTGTGGTTTTTCATATAGATTTCCATTACTTTTTAAAAAATATAATGGTAAAATATACATAACATATAATTTACTATTTTAATCTTTTTGAAGTATACAATTTTAATGGCATTCACATTATTGTGCAACCATCAACACTTGTCCATCTCCAGAACCTTTTCATCATCCCAAACTGAAACTCTGTACCCATTAAACAACTCCTCATTATCTCCTCCCCTTAACCCCTGGTAACCACTCTTGTACTTTCTTCCTGTCTGTGAATTTGCCTATTCAAGGTACATCATATAAGTGGAATCATACAGTGTTTTGTTCTTTTGTGTCTGACTTATTTTACTTCATACAATGTTGTTAAGGTTTCCATTGCTTTTAAAAATAAATTATTGAACTGTTTCAGTTAAGTGCTGTCATAATCTGGAAATATTAGAATATTTTATGATTTCTCTCATGCCTCCCATTCTCGTCTCTGTACACTGTCCTTAGGTGACCTCATCCAGTCCTATGCTTTCAGCATGTGTGTATGCTGACTGTCAGCTCCTAAATCTGTATCTCTTAATCTGGATCACTAGATTCATATTCAGATGCCTGCTTAGCTTATGCATAGAGATGTCTAATAGGAGTGTCAGATGTAATATAACCAAACCAGAATTCTTTTCATGTTCTTCTCCCAAAATCTGCTTCTATTCCAACTTCCCTCATTTTAGCCTGAAAATAACTTAAAGCTAAAAATTAAGCATTATCCTTGATTCTTTTCTCTCCTTTACCTTTCTGTACTCCCCTCCTCTGCTAGTGTAGCTTGCCAATTAATTGCTATATAAATAACTTTGAAAAGCTCACAATTAATGATAGCCATTTATATACTTGTTATGAGTCCAGTTATTGTTCTTTCACATATCATATTTCATATTTTTAATAGTTGCTCTGCTGGAGATTTAAAAAGTATTCTTTGGATAGATGTTTTTAATATTGATCCTCACTAAAAGCTGGGTGGAAGAGTGTATGTGAAAGTAATTTTGCAGCCATGTCTGCTGGCCTTTTGGTTCTGCCTATCTATTCATATAAAAGCCTAAGCGACTGTTGGATCATTCAACCAGTAGCTATGAAGCACACTGACCACCAGGGGGCAGATGCTCAACGCACAGGCATGAAAACATGGAACAGACTGATGAATCTCAGAGGGAAGGGGGGGAGAAGGGGGAAAGGCAGGGAGAGATTAACCAAAGATCTTACATGCATACTAGAGGCCCGGTGCACGGATTCATGCACCTGCGGGGTCCCTCGGCCTGGCCTGCGGTGATCGGGCCAAAACTGACAGTCTGACATCCCCTGAGGAGTTCCGGATTGCGAATCCGTTCACCGGGCCTCTAGTTTATAATATATCCTAAGGCTGCTCGATTCTTTCCATTTTCCGATTCTGCCACCATTATTTATTGCTTAGGGTACTGTAATAGTCTTCTTCTGTTTCCCTTCTGTTGATTCTGTCATCTGTTCTCCAGTAGTAACCAGAATAAAGTTAAAAATTTTTACTTTTAATAAATATAGATTCAAAGGAAGTTGCAAAGGCAGTCCAGAGAGGTCCCTTATACCCTTCTCTCAGTTCTCCCCTTTGGTTACATCTTCCATAACTATAGAACACTAGAGGCCCGGTGCACAAAATTCATGCCCTGGGGGGGTCCCCTCAGCCCAGCCTGCACCCTCTCCAATCCAGGACCCCTTGGGGGATGTCTCACTGCTGGTTTAGGCCCGATCCTTGAGATTGGGCCTAAACCGGCAGTCAGACATCCCTCTCACAATCCGGGACCACTGGCTCCTAACTGCTCGCCTACCTGATCGCCCCTAACTGCCCCCCCCC